AACTTTACAATTTTCGGCGAACCCGAGGTTGTCGAAAAATCGAAGGTCAACTTTCGGACCTTTAAAAATTGAATTTTGGCATCATATTTTCCCTCAACACCTTTAAATGATCGAAACAAAGCCAATAAACACATCTAAAATCTTAAAAATAATTTTAATACACATAAAAATAAAGAAAAATACAAATTAAATTGGATTTTTTTTTGTTCCAATCGACCTCCTCTAATTGTTTAATGGCTTGAAACCACTATGGATAAACTCTTGTCGCAAAGATAAACAAATCTAGTGGATTTTCGTCGATCGGCGTGGCCTAAATAAGGTTGGTCGACGATCTCTCTCTCCATGCAAGGGCCAAAATGGATGAGCAAATGAACGTGTAGATCAAAATGTGCTTTCGAAAATATAAAGGACCAAAGTGTAAAAAAAGTCATGAATAATGAAATGTACATTATAATGTGAGATGGCGAATAAGAAATTGTAAGAGCGTGAACGATACTTCAAATAGTAACGGTACATTAGTAGATGATTTTTTTTAGTTTTTTAGTTAATAATTCTAAATCCTAGCTGTAAGTTTGAAGGTTTACTTTTATATTATCATCTACGAGTTTGAATTCCTAGAAAGAGTCTAAAAAATAATTTCTTCTAAATAATATTAATCCGAAAGTAAATAGCCAGGAACATATTTATACGCTTGCCACTATCGTCAACTCCGAAAAATTAATAGTTTAGTTAACAAAAATAATTCCAAAAATCCAAAAAAAGAAAAAAATTGGAAGTCACGCAAGAACTTTCGCGTGTACACGGGAATATCGACTTTGAGTACATACAATTGATTAGGATGTCAACTTCGTCATCGGCAACAAAGGCGTCTATGATTGTCTGGTTCGTACTTGTTTTTTTTGTTGGTTTATAGCTTTGCGGTGATTGTAAGGGTGCTGTGTACTGCGAATGTTTTCACGTCTATCGTTTTGAACTTTGAACCTAGGAATGAGACCGGACTACCTCGTCAAGTACGATGCTTGCGTCAGGGTCCAAGACGGAATGGTTTGTGTCTGAAGATTGTAGTATTGCATTAGGTTCATGATGGAGTACTTGATAAAATATTATTTAGAATCGAAAAGCAGCAAGCTTTATGGTTGAAGGGCATCATCATTCATGCTTTGTTACCTATCGGTTTATGTCCTCTGATTACAAATCTAATAAACACACATGCAACCTATTCTGCTGATGTTTAATAATCAAGAATAAAATAATAAAAATAAAAATAAAAGTTTTATTTTTATTTTTTTATTGTTTGTTTTAAAAAAATAAAGTGTGAATGAAAATTAAAAATTACATATAATTTTATTTCTATTTAAAACATAAGAGTAAAAATAAGGAATACGAATTGAATTTTTTTTCAAACTAATAATATATTTTATTTATTAATTGTATATTAACTACTTCTAACACTATTACTATAACCATCACCACCATCATCATCATCACCGTTATTTTTATTATTTTTACGAACATAATAGTTTGATAAAAAAATTTTTTAATTATTATTTTTATTTGTATAAAAAAACTAGATATTAAAAAATTTAAATTGTATTATGATTCCTCGTTAGTATTCCAAACACAATATGAAAATATAAATACCATTCGATTCTTGCATTTCCATTTCCTATTTTTAATTCAATAAAAAAAGAGTAATGTATGAGTACTTGTAAAAGAAAATCCTGTAAAACATCTAAAATATGTTTTTCAAATTTTGAAAAACTAAAAAAGTAGTCTTCGTGGTATTTGACATGAAATTTTGCTTTATGTTTAAATGTTAACAAACTGGTATGCATATAAATGACTGATGTATAAATCATTAAATCATGTAGGCTATAAAATGTATGGTAATTGTTTTTGAAAACTAGAGAGAACTTCTTTCAAAAGAGGGTTTGAATGCGAATGGCTGTGTTTTTGAGATGCTGCTACTCCGATCATTTTGAGCAAGCATGTTGGCTGAGTAAAAGGGTTTGAATTGAACAAAGACTCTTGCAAATTTGCAGCTAGGCCTACCGGAAGCACGAGGCTTGAATATGCTTACACTTTGGGCAAACACTTGCCAGTGCAAATAAAGGAAAGCACCTGGTTACTTCAAGTCTTCTTTGAAATAGGGTTACGATCAACATGGGCCGTCAAAAGAGTCGTCTAATATTGGAAATCTGATATAGGATCATTTCGGGGGATAGGAAAGAAATGGGCCTGCTTAATATAGCCTTTTTTTGAATGGAATTGAAGCCTTCTATCAAAAGGGGTTTGGCAACTATTGTAGTTTGCAGAGGGGAAAAAGGGAAAAAAAAAAAAAGTAATCACTTTTTTACAGTTAATCTATTATTCATCTTGCTGATTCTAGGTAGGATCAGGAACTAAATTCTTGCTTCATTAGTAGCATCACGTTTCTTTCATACAATTTTTCAGCAGAAAATTAATTGTGTCAATGTACAGTCGCTGATTTTGTAATTAATAGATTGCTAGCTGCTCCTTTTTCCTCGCTGATTCTTGGTTTTCTGATCAATTTGGGCTCGTGATGTGTTCACAGTATGCATCTTATGGCTTGATACGTGGCTTCACTGATTTCTATTAACTTCCATCTGCACCTTAAAGGAAAAATAAAGATCGAAGTGTTACTAGGAACCGTTTCTTCCTTGAATTTGGACGGGAAATGGCTTACCTTAAAACTAAGGACACGGGCCATACAATCACACCCAACAAAAAATCGCAACCTTTCAATGTGGGAAGGTTGCCCCAAGGGCATGGGCTTGCGAGAACGAAAAACGCAAAAACACAGACATATACGCACACACATATTTTCATCCTAGCCTAGTTTTTCTTTTTTATATAAATATTTATAAATAATAAAATATTTTTACGTGAGTTTTTACATGAATTGAGATTATTTTTTTTTAAAAAAATTAAGATGAGAATGAGAATTCTGATCTAACGAGTCAAAATACTCAATCAATAACTTTTAATATTCTTAGTCTAGTTTACTTTAATATTAAAATATGTAAAAAACAAATCATTTTGTTTCACCAGATGATCACAATATGATGACATATTTCAGAGTATCTGTTTGATCTTTTTCTATATTCAATTTTCGTTGTGATCAATCATGTTAACAAAAAAATATTATAAAAAAAGTATTTTAAAGAAGAAAATAAAATTCTTGTCAAAAGTGTTTGTCTTTTAGCTTCATGCTATAGGATCATGGGATAGAAATATGATGGTTCATTTCAGCAGTAGCGAATAAAAAACGCTTCCGTTGCCTTCATTGGGACATTTCGAACAAGTCAAACAAATTAATTATATTATATACTCCAGAGTAAATTATAAATTAGTCCTTTTGATTTTTAAAATTGAATTAATTAATCTCTTTTATTTTAAAAAATAATTATTTTATTTTTGTTTTTTAAATTTACTTGTGATTTAGTTTTTTTATTTTTTTAATATATTTGATTATTTAAAAAATATAAAATATAAAAAAATTATTGAGAAAATAAGAGAGTTTATAGAATAAAAATAATATTAAATTAAGTATGATCATCGATGATCAAAGAACTAAATAATAATTAAAAAAAAGAGATTAAATTGTTTCTTGGAACTAAAAAGACTAATTTATAATTTAGTCATATATTCCAAGATTACCAGAAGGCCTGTAAAATCGTGAGTTTCGTCTACTGTTATAAGTGGATAAAACTACTTGTCTATATAGCTAAGCTCGTGTTTGCACTTCGCAATTTTACTGAAAAAAAAAAACCCTCTTATTTGATGCTCTCTCTCTCTCTCTCTCTCTACGCAACGCAAATTAAAGCAATTGATATCTTTTCAATAAAACCACTTCTATTTAATATGTTTTCAATCCTTTGGAAGTTGGAACCTTATAAGGTGCCATCCTCCTCCTTTTTTCTTTTCTTTTTTTTTTTTAAAAAAATAAAAAATATGGTTGAACTATATTGCAAATTAACTCAGATTGTTTTTTTTTTTTAATTACGATCTAAAGAATGTATCTTCTACGTCCTTTCAATATATTAGAATATATCTTCATTCCACGTCAATTTAGTATATTAAAGACAATGATATTTGATAATAAAAATAGTGATATTGATTTCAAATTATCTGGGTTTCAAATTCCACCATTATATAAAATTGTACAAAAATTTCAGAATTTTTCTTATAATATAGAGTACGATTAATTAGAATCGTGTGCAATTGGCACAATTTATGGTTACTTGTTCCGAAATGAAGAAGTAAACAACAAATTCATTTCCAAAGAGAAGAGGTTTTCTTCCTTTATTTATATTTTTTGTTCTAATGCACACATTCTTTTGACAAATTTATGTCACCAATAGGTGAGGGATCCCAGAAATCACCGGCCAGTAATCAGCAAGAAATTAGAGCTTATATAAGCACATTGGCGGATAGGGCTGAGCCCATCAGACGAGAAGAGTTGATAATTAAGAAATTTGAGCTAATATATCTTTGCAGCTAAATCTTCTTTCATTCTCAATCTGCTTTTATATCAAACAAGAAAGATGGGCAAGGATAAGGGGAAGAATTGGTTCTCGTCGATAAAAACATCGTTGGTCTCATGCATAAGTGCATCTAGTGCTAGTAAGAATACAAAGAGTCCAAAAGCAGCGACGCCAGCCACGCCGGAAACAGCCATGGTTTGCCGTTGCACATAAAGTGAGGTTAATTTAGCTTACCCTGTTTGCTTATGGTGCCTCGAATCTCTGGCAGCAGATAGAGTGAGGTTAATTTAGCTTACCTTGTAAACCAATTAAGCTTCAAATGCCAAGTCACAACCGAGAAAGGAACTAGGCGTAAGGAAGCCTTTAAATTTTGAAGATATTACCATGCTATTCGGCCATGAGGCACGATTTCAACTTTCTACCGTAGAAGAAAAGGTTTATGTACACATTTTCCTCCTAGGGCTATAATTAAAAACAAAATCATTTTCATTTTCAGATTTCCAAATTGGAATACCTCCACTCTAAAATTTGACCACATTTACCTGCAACAAATGACACTTTAATCACTGGAGCCTAAAGAAGTTCTTAACATAAACAAGTTAAGAAAATATTAATTTCACATGCCCCTTCATAAATTAAGAAAAATATTATCCTAAAATCAAATCCTAGCATTCCCGTAAAAATTTAAAAGATAAGAGAAATAATAAAGATAATTGAATGAATTACAATTACCTCACAGATTTTATATAACCATACAATTGAGATAAATAAGAAAATAGAAGAAGATAAATTATAATAAATACTTGATTATCTCATGTGATTAGATGATTGAAATAATTCTTTGACTGTCTTAATAAATCGTTCAATTTCTTGATTTATTTGTTTATTAATTAGAAAATAATCAAGAATATTAATCTAACTTCATTGTTCCTTAACATGCCCGCTCAACAAAGAGTAACGCTATAAAAAACATAACATTACTTTTCAAAATAATAATAATAAGGTGTTGTTTGATTATCAGAAATAAAAGATCCGAAATAAAAATGCAGAAATCGAAATGATATTTGTATTCTCATAATGTGTTTAGAATACCGATGAGGAATCAAAATACAATTTAAATTTTTTAATATTTGATTTTTTATACAAATAAAATAATTTTAAAAAATAATTTTATCAAATTATAATGGTTATAAAGATGATGATGGTGTTAGTGTTTATGGCGGCAGTGGTTTTAGTGGTAGTGGTGGTGATGATAGTGATTGTAGTGATTGTTCTAGTTTTGGTGGTGGTGGTTGTTGTGATGGTTGTGATAGTAGTTGTGGTAATGATGGTAAAAGTAATTAATAGATAATAAATAAAATATATTATTATTTTAAAAAAATTTCATTCTCATTCTTTATTTTGAAATAAAATATATCTTATATGTGAATGAAGTTTTGTGTAAATTTTTATTCTAATTCTCATTCTTCATTCCCATTCCTATTCCCATTTCATTCATTTTAACCAAACTACTAAACGTAAGAATAAAACTTTCATTTCTATTTCTATCACTCTATATCCGATTATCAAACAACACCTAAGAGTATTCAATAAAATTTTAAACAACACGGATCTAAAAAAGAGAAATCAATAAATAATCATGAGTCGATGTGTCATTGGAAATGATAATAAACAATATATTAAGTTGAAAATAAAAGAATTAAAAATAAAGTTTTTTTTTAGATGATCACACGAACAACATAAAACCATCTACCAATAAAGAGACTAAAAATGTTATAACAAAATTAAGATTTAATTTGCTAGATCCGTTACCATATATATATATATATATATAATGAGAATTGTATGATATTATGCAGACAATAAAAAGGATTAAAAACAAATTTTTTTAGGTGGCCGGACAAGCTACATAAAGCCATCTACTGGTAAGACGGAAACCATGAAATTAGAACAAAATCAAGGTCCCATGGATTGACTCCGATACTATATATGAAGAAAAATAAAATAGAAGAATTGTATTGATTGATGTTATGAAATTGTTACATAGGACTTGTTTATATAATGAATTCAATAAGAGATTATGGTAATAAATCAAACCAAATTACAAATAATAAAATATTGATCTACTTAATTTCTTTTAATTAAGATTTTCAAACGATCTTATATGATTTCTTGATTGATTCTAACTGCTCTATAATCTTCTTTCAATCATGTTCTCCAATAATCCCAATCTTTGTAATTTAAATTTTGTATACAAATTTAAAAATTTCTGTATCTTTTCCTGTTAATGCAAGTTGAGTGTTCAGAAACCAACAGGTCTGCAATTTGAGAAAATTTGCACTTTCATTCATCAACAATATCAAAAGGAGCAACAGGGGAAAATAAAAGCTATCAATTCCTGAGAAGCTAAAATTTACCCATTTTTTTTTATAAAAAAATTCTCTTCTATATTTCTTCTTTCTCTTTCTTTCTCCAAAAGGACAGGAGTTCATAAAACTGCCAAAAAAAAAAAAAAAGCACGTAAAGTAAATAAATATTTGACAGCTCATGCTAGTTAAAAAAAAAACAAGTTAATTCTTACTAACTGTCTACTACGTATATGTTTTTTTTCCACTTGTTACATTTTTCGACATAATCGTGACGAGATTTATTATGCTTCGCATTTGAAAAATTCAATGAACTATAAATCAATGCATACCGTTTTGTGTTCTTCCTTTTTGGTACCAGATTTTGATACCAGAATTTGCCAAGAGTCCTCGTCAAACGTGCACAACTTTTCTCTTCCATCCACCTGATCTTGATCATCTTCTTGTTTTTTATGTTCCTCTTCTTCAGATTCATCCAAAGATGGAAACTCCCAACTAGGGTCTAACTCAAGGCAATCTTGCTTGTCATTGAGGCCCAGATCGTCAACCATTTCATGATCAGCAATATTATTGCACTCCGAGCCTCCTTGAACTGTCTTGGACTTAGTAGTACCATATCTCGTTCCGAAAAATGGGATATACTTCATTCCTAAAGATACAACCTTAAAAATCAGGCAAGAGGATATAAAAGTAGACGAGAACGGTAAACTTAAGAGTAAGAGAAATAAAATGAAAATGAAGGCAAAGAAAATAAATGGTAGTAAGATGAATAGAGTAGCAGCAGCAGAGAAGTAGTTCAATAGTTGCAATAAATTTGGGTATTGAAGATGTAGAGGCATTACGGGAACTTGGCATATCTATTTAGTTTTACGAGTGGTTTTAATTTGTTACTGACTTCTTGTATATTCAAGTTTCATTTCCTTTACTTCTTTTGGGTTTAATTGGAAGTTGATGTTACGTGGAGGTGTGTGAGGGTTTTTGGGAACCATTTTTCGAGGCTGAGTGTGATGTGGAGATGGGAGTGATGCGCGTGCGTTACTGTTTTGGATCAGTTTTATCTATATTTGGAATGTTTGGATAGACGATGGTTTAATGATAAATTTTGTCTTTTCTAGGCTCTTTGCATGTGTGAGTTCAGAATGTTGAACTCTCATATGGCTGTGACTGTTCAGGTCTCCTATCTACTTTTTATAGGCAAAACCGATCCTTACGATTCTGCAAATAGAATGTTACAGCCTTACCGGCTCTGTTTCTTAAACAATTGGATAATTTTGAGTAGGTAAATGGTTTGGGGAATTAAAAAAAAAATCAAGATGGAGTGAAGACGGACGAGAAACATAATATTACATGCTTTTTTAAACTTGTTGCTAACTAATTAAATAAACATCAGATATTTCCTTGGTTTTTGACCCAATAAATGTCAGTTATAGTGTCAAATTTTAAGGATGAATGCCTCCTCTCCCTATTAATTCATAAAATGCATGGTTATGTGTATATCTATATTATTGTTTTTAACTAGTTATTTTGTTAATAGTATATTCAATGGTACTTTTTATTTTTAGTTAGTATTTTTAATATAAATAGAGAGCATCATAAATTATATAGATTAAAGATTAATGTTATTTTCAATAGTACTCTCTACTTTGACTCTTTATTTTGATAAAATCTATAAAATCCAAAAAGACTATTGGTGAAGACAGCTAAATGGCATAGGAAATAGTAATTTTTATTAATAAAATATAAGATAAAGAGTCATTTGGACTCTCTAGTATTGGAGAGCCAAAGACATTTTATATCTCAATTTTAAAAATAGAGATTCGATAAAGAGAGCATTGGAGATGAAATTTAAGCTAAACCTCTTTATTATAAAGAAAAATCTTAATATAAAGAGAGCATTGAAGATGCTCTAAGAACTCATCTAGCATTAGTGTTTCATTTCCAATTAAAAGATCTCAAATTCAAATCCTCGTTAATTAAATAAAAAACCTAATTATTGGTTGAGTTGAATTGAGTTTTGTGATCTTCCATGAAAAATAATGTTAGAGAATTGGTTGAAAAGCTTTTATATATATATATATATATATATATATGTTAGGAATTAAATTATTATGTCAACGTAGTGATATAAAGGCATATGCGAAATAATTAATATATTAGGGCAGTTTGGCTGTAGATATATGTTCTCACTTAAATAGAGAGTATCATAAATTATATAGATTAAAGATTAATGTTATTTTCAATAGTACTCTCTACTTTGACTCTTTATTTTGATAAAATCTATAAAATCCAAAAAGACTATTGGTAAAGACAGCTAAGTGGCATAGGAAATAGTAATTTTTATTAATAAAATATAAGATAAAGAGTCATTTGGATTCTCTAGTATTAGAGAGCCAAAGACATTTTATATCTCAATTTTAAAAATAGATATTCTAATAAAGAGAGCATTGAAGATGAAATTTAAGCTAAAACTCTTTATTATAAAGAAAAATCTTAATATAAAGAGAGCATTGAAGATGCTCTAAGAACTCATCTAGCATTAGTGTTTCATTTCCAATTAAAAGATCTCAAATTCAAATCCTCGTTAATTAAATAAAAAACCTAATTATTGGTTGAGTTGAATTGAGTTTTGTGATCTTCCATGAAAAATAATGTTAGAGAATTGGTTGAAAAGCTTATATATATATATATATATATATATGTTAGGAATTAAATTATTATGTCAACGTAGTGATATAAAGGCATATGCGAAATAATTAATATATTAGGGCAGTTTGGCTGTAGATATATGTTCTCACTTAAAATCAATAAGGGCAAAAAAATTCTTCATTTGTTTGGTTACGTAAGAAATTTGGTATGTATGGTGCATATAATTCTGTTTGGAGGTTTTTCAATTGAAATTGTCGATCATTAAAATGTTCGAAAATTAATCGTGATCGATCAATCCATTTTATATAACCACTGTTTTGAGGTAAACTTCTTGACAAACACTTCATGCAATTTTTTGAGATCTATTTGACAAAAAATTCCCTGTCCCATATACAAAGTTGGAGAAAATTAATTCGTTTTAATGCATAATATACATATACATACATATAGTTTATGATGCAGTACTAAAATTTCAACCATAGTATTTTATATGTACTGTAACGACTTGGTTTAGTGGCAAAAAAAAATATTTTCATTTGACCAAAATTAGGATTTAATTCCAATTATTCACTGATAATTAATTGTAATTATTTTTTTAATAATATCTGACTTGAGTTGGTTTGGTTCAAAGGCAACTCGGTGGTTGAATAAATAAAACTAAATGTATTTTGAATTAGTCTTAATTGATGTAAAATTAATCCGATATATATATATATATAAGAGAAGGATAGAGAGTGGGAGATGGAGAAGAGTTTGAAGAGAGAGAGAGAGAGTAATATGAAAATTCACAAAAACTGATCAAGAAGACAGATAAAAAGAAAAGTGATGTTTTACAGGCAAAGTTCTCAAACAAACACTCATGACAATTATTTTTTTCATAAAAAAAAATCAATCATTTAAATTTGAAATAAACTATATTAAGCTAACATATTAATTTGTATAGATTTGGAGGAAAAGAACTTTAAACCGAAAAGAAGTTATGGTAGCAGAATCTATCACGGATTGGTTCAAGCTCCTGATACCATGAAGGATGATATCTTGTGGGTTTATAAACTCTGGATGCTTGTATGCCATTGATGCTTTGCTTGCTGCCCACTGGTCATTGGATGGCAGACCCAATGAAGCTCTTAGTTGAAATGGGCTGGACCTAAGGATACTAATGGGCCATAGAGTGAGACTTTGAAGATGTAAAGTGGGGCAATGGCCACGTGAAGAACTTGACGCCTCGAGTGTCACCTACTTCTCGCAGGCCCTTGTCACGTGAACTCAACGGCCCTCACTGTCTCGGTGCCTCCACGTTTTCTTTGGCAACACCGAACTTGGAGACAGGAGCGAATTATGAGGTAGATGGAGACGAGATACGTGAGGTATTTCTCATGTATTATTCTAAGAATTAATAGCATGAAATATTTTTCTATTTTTTAAAATTTTTTTAATGTAGTTGTTGTACCTTTTTTAAAAAAATTTTAACGTGACTTCTAGAACTATTTTTTAACTGAATTTTCAATTAAAACTGACACTTGACATATAAAATTTTATGTGATATGACATCTCTTTTCCTCTTTCGATTTTTATTTTTTTATTTTTTTTCCTGATGAGATTCTCCTTTCAAAAAAGAATTCCAACCCACTGCAGCTCACACTCATAGAAAATCAAAGCAACTGTCATACCTTCAGTATCTGTAATTTTAGGCCCACATTCAGCCAACTTCAACTCCTCGAAAGAACATAGCCCTTGCAACAATGACACCCCAAAATTAGAAACCTACCACATTTTGCAAGAGCCAACCTCTTTAATGTCCTTGAAGAAAACCCCAGTTCCAAAAAGGCCAAACCTTTATTAGTAATCGAAGAGCAACATTTTTAATTCAGAACCCGAATCGAAATGCGAAGCATTTAGCCCCTCTCTTTCTAGTTTAGGGGTCCAGGCGAGAAATGGCTTGATGAACTGTATGTATCCAATATCCAATGGCTTCAACGGATGAATCATTAATTAAGCTACACCTTTTCAAATCCAAAACATTCAAATTTTATGCACACTTAACGAAACTAATAACCCCAGTATTCCGACCCTCCTTTTCCTTTTAAGCAACACTTTACACAATTTGCAATAGCTAAACACCAACATCGTCAAAATCTAATACCTCATCAAGCCCATCAATGTTTTGGCCTTCAACTGAATGTTGCTTGAGGTTAAAATTAAGACTTAAGTTTAGGACATGTTCTGGCTTATGAATTCGAGGTGGGTAGGGTGATTCGTTTTGAAGACTCAAAAGAACAAAATTGGGAATCTGGCTTTTTTTGTGCAAATATATATATATATATATATATCGGGGAGAAATTGGCCACGGCTGGCAGTTTGGCAGTGTTGGTGGCATGCAATTTTTGAGAGAGAAGGGTTCGGCTGTCACTCTCTTCTCCTCCCTTCTGTTTTTTTAAACTTTATTTACACGTGGCTGCCCCAAGTTAAGTGGATCCCATTAACGGACCACGTGTGTAAAAAACTAAAAAAATTGACATAAATTTAAAGAAATATTTGATTAGGCAAAAAAATTATGGCTTGAATTATTTAAATAATAAAAATTGAAGAAGATGCACTTGATTAAAAAAAATTAATAACTTGATAAATTGAAAATAAGATTAACTCTTGCTTTAAGTGAGGACACAAGATAAACGTTCGAGTAAGTTTAAATTATTAAGTAAAGAAGTCTTATGAATGGTTTTATATTACAAACCTACACCGTATTATGCTTAATTAATTAAAAGAGAAATATGAGATTTTATATTACATATCTATATTACATTGTACTTAATTAATTATATAAAAAATAAAAATGATGAGATTTAAACTCGTAATTATTTAATTATTAAGGTTTTGATATCATATGAAATAATCATCTTAATCTAAAAATTTAAGCTTTTATATGAAATCTTATAAATAATTTTATATTGTTCTCTAATAAGAAAGAATAGATGTTCTGAAGACCTCTCTTTTATCACATAGGATGACCAAGAATACGAAAATCCTTCATTGAATGGAAAAAAAATGTTTTGCTTTATTGGGGCGAGAAAACATTGTAGCTTGAGTGTATGATAATTTTTTCGAGTACTGCATATCAAAAACATTCGGCCACTGATATTTTTATGTAGAAGATTGACTATAATTTTCTTGTAAGGAATATAATTGCTACATATCTATCCTAGTACCAAACTTAAATGTTTTTGGAGCTTAGGTCCCTAAATAGGTTGGCACACCAAATTGTTGTTTGTGGCTGTTCTTTCCATTACATTTCAGCTTTCAGCTGTACCACCATTTTGTATTTCATTTTTATGCTATTGTTGAAATTTTAAAATTTTGTATTTTATTTGTTAGTTGGAGAATTGTTAAATCCAAGGAAAAGAACAAATATTTAAATAAATATACGGTACATCAAAACGAATGCCTTAATTTATTAAATTTGTCTCAATGAAGTGCATAAAGTAATATTCGGTATAATATATTAGACGATTCTTGTGATTCGTTGGTTCAACCAATGGTTTAATGTTTCAATCACGTCACCTCCAATTTTAGCTTTTAAAGCAAAATAAATATAAAACCAAAGTATAGGTGGTTTACTAGTCCAACCAATCACAAAGAAGGTGTAGAATATTTGCTAGAGGTATGTTATATTATTCAGTATTTTTAGATGAATTTTTGATGTTTAGGGAATGTTTTCGATACATTAATAATATTTTTTTTATGTAAATTAATTATTTTAAATATGTTTGAAAATTATCCACCGAGTATAGAAAAATCATTAAGGAGTTGTAGGAATATTTTATGGATTTAGACGAATTTTTCAATACATAGAGAATATTTTTTATATAAATAAATATGTTTTTACACAAGATAATTAATTTTAAGGCTAAAATAAATGAATAAAAATTACGTGAATAATAAATAAATCAGTTGGTTAAATCAATAATTTTTTTCTTTTCAACAAAAATCTGATATTTTTAAAGGGTGAAACTCGCTCAAATCCTGATTTTTCAATTTTGATAATATTAATAACATGGATCAATTTAAATTTAAAATTACTATCTTTTCATAGCTCAATAAATATAATATTTTTGGGACATGTATTCCGTCCAGTTGAAAGGTTGAAAAGATAATACAATCTTGAAATTTCCTTTTCTTCTTCTAGCATTTATTTTCTCTCTCTCTCTCTCTTAAAAAAAATTTCTTAAAAAGAAAGCATTGAGCTCACGGGAAGAACATGAGCAAATCCACATGGAATCCTTTGCACCACTTCCAGCAAAAAAGAAACCAAAAAACACTGGGTGACTAGACCAGACCACGAACTCCTAACTCACAAACATAAAAATACCGTTGGGTGATTGCCGGAGCCACCATAACCTTTACACCTCCACAGTGCTTCTGTTCACTGGAGACCACCCAACTCTTTAAATTATCTATCTTCTACACTACCTACTCCAGTCTAGGTTTGGCTCAGCCTATTTTTTTCATTTATTTTGTTTGTAGTTTTTGTAATCAAATTGTATGTACTACTGTATTTTTTGTTCTTCATTTAAGAAATTTTTTTCTGAATTCTGGGTTCTCTTTTGGAGTAATAAATTAGACTTATTGGAATGAGAGGAAAGGGAAATCAAAATCAAGAGGAGGAAGAGTACGAGGAAGATGAGTTTGGTTCCAGAAAAGATGGGCCGTCTTCAAACGTTACAACTAACAACGATAATTCAAGTAAAGGTATGTTCTTTTTTACATTGGATTGTACTATATTAGATCCAGCTATGTTTTTATTCCTTTTATGCAAGGGTGTCACAGTTGCTGTTCTTTCATTGCTTTCTTTATGGTGTGATTTTGCATTTTTTTTAAAAAAATAAAATAAAAAAATTTAAGCAATTTCTCTTATTTATTTGCTTCTCAATAGTGAATTTTGGAGCTTTTATGTTATTGGGTTTCTGAAATGATGTGTTTTTAAATGGGGTGTTTTGAGTTTTATTTATTTTGGTGTTTTTGTGATTTGGGATTTGGATTTGGAGGCAGATGGGAAGATTAGTGACAAGGCTAATGCAATAAGATCGAAACATTCCGTCACTGAGCAGCGAAGAAGGAGCAAGATCAATGAGAGGTTTGTTGGTTTATTTTTGTGGATAGACAATTAGGATTTGAATATGTATGTAATACAGTTCTGATTTTTTTGCTCACATGATTCTGCATGTTAGTTATATCTGACTTTTTGTTGTTCAAGTCACCTGCTTTCTTGTTGCATACACTTTCATTTTCAGTGAAGGGAGATATGGTAAAAAGTTGGACCAGTCAGTCTGAATTATCAGTGGTATAAGGCATTTTTTGCTTACACTAGTGTAGTTAATGAATTTAGAACTCAAGGATAATTCGATTTAACTTTCCTCAGGCCCTAGAAAGAAGGGCAGTTTGAGCCAACTTTCATTGCATTGGTTGTGCAAAATAGTTAGGGAATTAAGTCAATGCATTACATAATGCAATTGAGCTGGGTCGAATCACTTCACTTGCTAACTGTTATTTTTAAGTCTTGAAGACACCAGTTTCCAACATAGCACTTACTGCACATTCAAATTATTCTCACTAATTTTTGTGGTATTTTTTTACTAAAATTTTGGAACTTTTGCTAGTGGTGGTTTGGGATAAGGTGTTAACTGATTGACAGTATTCAGGATTCCTCACTTGTTGTGTGACTATTGCTGACCGATGCGCTCAAATCTGTACCCTTTTTTATCAGCTATTGGTCATGCTGTAGTGTTAACAAATATAAGCACACTTATATAGCTTGTCATAATCTTAATGCTGATTGTGAGGTTTTCATTTTTATGTGTGTGACTCTGGCAAGACCTTCTTGCATTATTGTGGATACCGGTATCTTAACAAATGGTCAATAGTCAAATAATGAAAAAACTTTAACTAGAAATTATGTGTTAGATGTTGCTTTACCACAGAATAAAGGATGCATTTGATTAAACAATTCAATTATCAGTCAAAATTTTGTCTTCTCATGAACAAAATCTGATATAGCTCTATGAACCATAATCTTTTTCTTTCAGATTTCAGATATTGAGAGATCTTATTCCTCACAGTGATCAAAAGAGAGATACAGCGTCATTTTTATTAGAGGTACACAACAAGCGACTCAAACTAGAGCATACCTATAAATTCAGCAGACAAGATTTGTTGTTCGAATTTGTTGACTACATATCAATGCTACTTTGCAGGTCATTGAATATGTCCAGTATTTACAGGAGAAGGTGCAAAAGTATGAGGGTCCATATCAGGGATGGAGCCCTGAGCCAACAAAGTTGATGCCATGGGTAAAGCTCTTATGCCTGTATATGTTGTATACTGAAGACCTTCACCCATGTGTATTGGCATTAGTTACTGCCTATTTGCAGGTGTTGACATATCCACCCATGATAGTCTGCTATGCTCTGCATGTAGAATTGATGCCATGGTTTTATGACTTGAGAGAAAATTTGGAACTGACTGTAGAATTTATTAAGGATCTGCTCATGCACTCAACTTGTCTGTTATGATGCTTTAGCCACTAAGTGCAGTGTGGTTTTTTATTGTGTTTCATGTTCTATGTTATGAATTTGAGACGGGAAGAATGCCCATTTATACTACAATTAACAGTCAGAAATCTTCATAATACACTGAAAAAAAAAAAAATCTTAGATGAGCATAATTGAAAATTATGTTTTCTTTTGGAGTTTCAGAAGTTCAACCCTATTACCAGACTGGTTATATTTATGTTTGACTCGAATCCTGTTCCTTATGGATTAAGTGACATAATAAAGCTTTCATAAAATGGTCACAGACAAAAGTGTTGCAGTGGAAGTAACTTCTTTGATATACCTGTACTAAATTTGCCATACTCCTTTGAAGCTTTTGATTTTTAGACTTGTAAAAGTTGAGCAACAAACATTGGTGTTTAGATTGGGGCTCATTCTTTCTGATGGCAAGCCCTTTCTCTTTAGACTTGTTCCATTATGTTTTTATTACATTCAGGTTATCTCTTACTCTTGCTTCTGATCTCCTTAAAAAGTACATGCATTTTGGTTTTTGTGTTAATTGCTCTCCAAGGTTTTGTTGGGGAGTAGTATTAGTTACTTTTATTGGAAATTTGCTGGTGGCGGAGAGAATTGTGGATGCATTTGAATGGTACCTTTTTTTCACATTTGGAAAATTCTCAGAGTAACTCATTAGGTCTTCTTGAAACAGAGAAACAGCCACTGGCGCCTTCAAAGTTTTGTTGGTCACCCTCAAGCTATTAAAAATGGTTCTGGTCCAGGGGCCACATTTCCTGGGAAACTTGATGATAATAACATTGCTCTCACCCCAGCCATGCTTCCAAGCACACTGAATCTAGTAGAATCTGACCATCTTGCCTGCAAAGTGTTGGAGCACCAACCTGAGCTAGCAAACAAGGTTACGCCTCTTCCCATGCCTGCTTCTGTTCGAAGCGATGGACTTGTTGCTCATCCCCTTCAGCAGCCAGTCTCTGATGCTCAATCAGCTGAGTGTCCCATCACCAGTGATATGTTGAACCAGCAGGAGCTGGCAATTGAAGCAGGGACAATCAGTATCTCCAGTGTTTACTCTCAAGAGTGCGTATGATTTTTTTGTGAGTTTTGAAGTCCTGGGTATTTGGTTATAAGCTGACAATTAATATGGAATTTTGCACAAACCAGGTTGCTGAATACACTTACGCAAGCACTGCAGAGTACTGGTGTAGATCTGTCACAGGCTAACATCTCAGTTCAGATTGATCTTGGAAAACGGGCAAATAGAGGGCTGACCTCTGGAACCTTGACATCTAAGGTATGAGGCTGGTAATTTGAAGTGGTCAATAAACAATAGGTCTTGTTAGGAAGTAGTTATAAACTTATAAAGATCATTACTGTGCTTTTATTTAGCCAGTTTTGCATGTCTTCCATTGCTTTCTAGGATCCTCCAAATCCCGAGCCTAGCAATCAAGCAACGACCCACTTTAGGGATGCAAGTGGAGGAGAGGACTCGGATCAAGCTCAAAAGCGTCTAAAGACATAAGACCAGTATGGGCTTTATCGAGTTTGCGCACGGGATTTCTTTTTGCTCTCGTTTATCAGTCCTTTTGTTATTTGTACATGCTGTGCTTTTGGTTTCTCAGATTCTTACATACTTCATGGAATCTGTTCAGAGCTGTCACCTTGGTATATGTTTCTGTGGAGTTGCTCTTCAGATTTGTGGTCATTTGATGCCCATGGCCATGTCGTGGTTGTAACGTACATATTCATTAAATAGATATGTAATTGAGCGTTTTGGGGACCGGTTGGGGAATAGGTAGGTTTGTGTATGTCTCGTTCTAATTTTAATAATTCTGAACATGGTCACGACATTGAGATTTATCCTCATATCTGATCAACAATGAATATTTCCATTGTTAGACTCCGAAAATACAGCCTACGTATGCTTTTTGGCCTTGCTGTCACAAGTTGTGGACTCCAGGATATGCTAATACACCAAGGATTTCCAATTTTTTTTTTTAAATAGCACTTATGCATGAAAAGAAAAAATAAATGGTCTCATCGTTCGTGTATTATAAGCGATCCAACAATTTCAAAATACACAGTTTAAACTTCTGGTTTTCTGTAAGCACCAAAATATACTGTTATCTTATGGCTATAGAACCACCATTTTCTTCTTTGTGATTTGTATGCATGCCACCGTCAAGTTACTGCGAGATAAACCTGCTTAGTAATTTTATTTTTTCGTTCATATAGAAAATTTTATTATTAACGCACCCTTAACACATTACATGTTTCCTCGATCATATATTTGTATAAAAATCATTTAATCATAATATTTAATTTATGCATATTTTCCATGTTCTCTAATATGCTTCTCTGTCGGTTCTTTTTGTTAAGATGGATGACTGCATGTACTGTGTTTAATCATGAATTAACCAAAATATGCTAAGAGTATGAAATAAGTCACTAAAAAAGAAACAATGATTTGTTCTACCGAACACACGAACTTGAGGAGAACAATTATTCTCATAACCAAGTCTATGACTAAAGATAAATCGATATTTATGCCATTTATTTTATACTCCTAAAGGAGTGTTTAGTCAATTCATGACTGAATTATCATGTGCAGTGCAGATGAGTAAATTTTAATGGAAATAGAGTGAAAAGCATATTAAAGAATATAGATAAATCAAATGTTAGGATTGATTTTTTTTTCCCCCTTATGCAAGGGTATAGTTGAAAAATTGTTAGATGGACAGCTTTCCCCTTTTCATTCATCATAACCAATCCCTATCTGCTGGGCTTGATAATTTTCGATACAGGATGGAGATTGTACTTTATATGAATACGAAGAGCATACATAAATACAGTTTAGCATCTATAGGTCTACAGACTAGAATACAATGAGGGATGCCACCTGGTTTTTGGATACTTGTTTGTCATAGGACTACAGAATAAGAGGCTCTAACGTTTGGGCAAGAATGTCGTACGATGCGTCAACTGTTTGTAGCAGAGATTCCTGTGGATTAGCGTAGAAATAATCCTCTTCTCTGGGCTGATCTGGAATCTTCTTGTTGGTTTTCTCGATCTGCATGAGCTGCCTTTAGTAAGAAGGCATCCAATGCTAATCCTCCAATCTTGTACTATCGATCCGACAGTCCTGTGTCCCAACTCCAAGTGTCTGCAAAATTGCACGTCTATCCCTTAGGATCAGCAATTGTCTAAATGGAAGGAACTTTCAAGCGAGCAAGTGTGCTCATGTAATAATTCTGCACTGTACGACTAAAAATTCCTATTGGAAACAGATCAGTGCATCTTAATAATTCTATTGGAGAAAGAAAAAAAGAACCATCACTGGACGATTGAAAATTTGAAACGTACAGCCAATGACTTGCAACAGCTGTTGTCGTGTTCCCTTCATAAGTACAGTAGGAACAAATTTTTGCTTCGAAGTACAGAACCAGAAACTAAATAAGAAAAAAAACATCTAATTTAAAACCATAAACCAATTAAGAATCAAGTAGAAACACTTACCTTTTGTATTGACCAGTCATCTGCAAGATAGGAAGATGTGCGCTAGCTGTAGGGTTACAACATAGAAGTCATGCTTTACAGGCAGTCAGGCAACACTCTTCTATTGATTTCAAAAAACAGCTCTGCGACAAGCTTATCTTATTTATTGTCATTCAAATCTCCTATAGTTTTCATCAGAAAAGCATAATCATAAGCTGTTTCTTCACACTGACTATAGCAACCGCCTTCACCAAAATGCCCTCCAGCCATATTTGTTTTCAGAATGACTGAACACGAACAATGAGAGCATGCAATATCTCGTATCCTGGCCACCCATTTGGCAGCTTCCCAAACTCCAACCCTGGGAAACGAGTAATAAACACTTAGTTGAATAAAATACAGATATGCATGTTTATTTATGAACATGAATAAATGAGTAGAAAGTATAGATCAACACCCGTGATTATCAATTAAGAAAGTTGAAGATATGAATTTACCTTGAGTCATTAAATGATGCTGTTACAAGCATTGATGGAAGGCAAGAATCATGAGGAATGTTATCATAAGGAGAATAACATAGAATGGACTCAAACTGTGACTGTATCTGAGGATTCCCAAATTCTTCGTAGTCCAGTATGGTGAGAGGCAAACTTGGATCCAGCAACGTGTTACATACATCAAGAAATGGAACCTGATAGATATGTTAACCAAATATCAGTGCCACCGTATCAATGACGTAACTATCTTAATAGTATTTTATCCATTTAACGAGGGCTAACCTTCAAAATGGCAGCACGAAACAGATTTGGGCTCATATTGATAGCTGCCCCAACAAGAAGACCCCCTGCACTAAATCCCATGGCACCTAGCCGATCTCTATGAACATAGCCCTCAGAAACAAGGTAGTTGCCACATGATATGAAGTCATATATCGAATTACATTTGTTCAACCCACTGCCATATTTATGCCACAGAGAATGACCACCACCACCCCTGCCCATGCAGAACATGTCAAGTCTTGGAATATGATTCTAGAAACTCTGTCAAACATCACCATGTAACTTTTATTCCACTTAAGAAGGAAATACCAAATTGAATTTGAACCAATTTTGGAAGCAAACTGATAGCCCAATTTTTTAACAAGGACCAACATCATGTCACCAATGAAGAAATCTTCACATACATGTACCACTCTTGGAAAATTAATAGTTCTTTATAAATAGAATCTGAACACAAACAGTTATATGAAAGTTGAGATTTAACTAACAAGGAGAGTAGCATATTTACTTTAATCTTATGCCTAAACTAACTTTAGGTAATGTCCATTCAAAAAGTGGCATAGAGCTCAATCAGAAAAAAAAAAACTTTACAGAACAAACCTCACGTCAGCAAAGGCCAGCACCCAACCACGATCAAGTAAACTCAGGCGGTCCGAGCACCAGCTTTTATCCAGAATTTCCCCATATGCTCCATAGCCTTCTAGTAATCCAGGAGACTGACCCCTCTGCCAGGCTTTTTGGGAGTACAAAATGGTCAGAGGAACCTTGACACCATCGTGGGAAATGACTTCCTTTCTTTTGCAGCAGTATGCACCAGAAAAGTCTTTCCATCTTTGCAATTCAATATTCTGGTTATTTTTTTCTTTGTCGTTTAGTGGGTCAAGATGTTCAGGAGTATCTAGCTCGTAAGCCAGTGAGCATGATCCACAACCACCAGAAATATCTCCTACTTTCTCTTGTTGCACAATTGAAAATGTCCGCTCCGACATGTTATAGTCGACGATCACAGCAGGCATCTGCATATTTTGAAAGAAATGCTAGAAGAGTTGCAGAGAACCCTTTTCTTTTAAAAATAAAATAAAATAAAAGTAGGAACATACTTGAGAGAGATAAAGTGTTGTAATTACATATAGATTATGCCACCCTCCAAAGAATGGAACAAAGAAGGAAAAGAAAACTGAATCGTAACTCAAGACTTTCTGATTCCATTGGATTACAGCTAAAGCAACTCTTTTGAACACCACTGTAGGTCTACTAAGTAGGATACTGGTAAATCATAACGAGTCAGTATGATTCTTCAATCTCATATTTTAAGAAACTTACATCCATCCAATTTAATTTTTCAATCTAAAAATAATGGCCTTGTAATAGTTTCTGGAATGTTATTCAATCTAACCCCAGAGGGTGGCACAGAAGGATAAGATTTGGCCTAGGATACAGGAGGTCTTGAATTCAAGTCCTGCCTTTGGATAGCTTGAGACTTTCTAACTCTTTGTGGGACACTAGGCATGCAGCCTCTTCCAAAAAAAAAGTGCGCCCTCGTTGATCCAAGAAATGGCATGACCGGCTACTGCCAATTTCAAGACGTGAAGAACCAGTAGTGGTGGCCCAAAGGGACTGTGGATAACCCACAACTTGTGCATATAGATTAAAAAAAAAAAAAAAAAAAGAAGTTTCTGGAATGCATGTTGATAAAGGCCTGTAATTGGGCAGTGAAAATATTCCTCCCGTTCTTAGATAAAAATAACCGAAGATAGCATCAGAGAGGCATTAAGCTACAAAGCATCACGCGTAATTAAGCTTTGATAGAAGTTATACCACTGGAGATGACAGCACCACCCGGTATACTGGGTTCATGAAGTCATGGTTTGACCCTGGAACGATGTTACATAGATTCGAAGGCAGGGGAAAAACCATGGATCGAGATTCTCAATCTCCAACTGATTCTGCAAAAACAAGTAGGGATAATTGGCAAATGAACATGTAAAACTCTTTCCTTCTGTGGGAAAAAAGTTTCTTTATTATCCATGCCATGATCAGAATTAATAATTTAAGCCAGCCCACAACAAGGAAAATCCAGGATGAAGGTATATAATATAAGATTGTATGTGGTATCTGCCAAGTTTTGCTGATTTCTTACAGAAAACAGCAACATTGTTAAAGATCTCAAGACTATGGTTACTCCTACAGCAAATCCCAATATTCCTCAGATTGCATTACAGCATGTGCATGGAGAATTTGCAAAAGTTTCGAGCAACAGCCCTTTTCCCCATTAACTAACATATCAGGAAACATCCTCCCCATTGCTACATTTTTTTTTTTTTTTTTGACAGATATAAAAGTCCATTCAGATCCTGCCTATAGATGCTGAAACACAATAACGATACTGATGACATACTTGTTCACTAACAATCCCTTTTCTTTTTTATAACAGAAGTAACATTTGTTTCCGTGTTTTAAAGCAAAAACCATTGAAAAAAACTCTATCAACATGACTAATGGCATTGGTGATCCTCTGAACCAGTGAATGGATTTAATAGTGCAAAACATGAAGAATAGAAACACAATATAAATTTTGTCCATTTGAGAACTCCCTGGTAAGTCAGAATGTAATAAAGGTAGAAATTTATGTACCACGCTGTTAAACTTGATAGGCAAATTGACGGAACATAATGCAGGTAAGCCCTTCTTATCGACTAAAAGGACCAAATGTCCATTAAAAATGTCCATATCTTGAATGCTCATATCTTCGCTTGGAAGGATGAAATTCTGTAAGATAACAATATTGTGTGAAAGAATAGTGATGATACAAAAAAATGGAGCAATTCATTAGTTGATGATATAAATAAGCCAGACCTGCCAATCAGAAGATTGTATATCTTCAACTTGGCATTGAGCCAAATAATAGTTTCTGTCTGACTGGTCCTCACTTTCACTTAAAGGAGCATTTGTAAGAATATAGAACACGCCATAGTGATGTTCCAAAAAATACCGCACACCAGAAACACGCTCACGTACTTTTTGTAAACCATCAAGCGGGTTGGTTGCATCTATCACATAAACCTGTAAATATACAGCATAGGAAGTAAGCCTCAACATGACAAATACTGAGATGAAGATATCATGGGAAAGAAATGCAAAATGAACTAAGTGAATTCCTTCCTCGGATGAAGTTCTTGAGTTTGAGTTCACAGTGATAAACTTGCCATCTTTTGTGTTTGTTATATCCACACAAAAGCTTGAATTACTTTCCGTAAATACTGGGACATCATGTATCTCATTTGATCCTAGTTTTGTGAAGACAACCCTGAAAAAGCAAGAATAGTGAGAGAGGAAAAATTCCAATGCATGAGATAAATAAAAGATCAAAGAAATATTAAAACAATTTGCCTGTAAGGTCGTTGATTCTCATCCGATACTGTGTAGAACAGAGTAGTGCTATCTTGAGCCCATGCCAAACTAACAACCCCATCAACTTGTGATCTTGCAACAATGTATCCATCCTTGAGGTCCTTAACCTGAAGTATGAATTGTTCATTGCCAGTAATATCAAGTGTGTATGCAAGAAAGTTGTGATCGGGTGAAACCCGACATGTCCCCACATGCACGTAACCTGCTACAGCGAACATATGAATCAACTGATATGACGAAACGTACAAGCTCTGTTATTAAGGAATGTACAAATATTATTCTAACCCTGAGTGAATGTTTTGATTTACCTACAAACTCAAAGATTTAGTCAACTAGTACATTACATCTATGCACGCTTGCACACACATACACAGTGTTAACAGTCTGATCTAAGAGTCATGTGGCCCACATATATGAGATGCATCCACATAAAGCACACAATAAGCACCACAAAGTTCTGTTTCACTTCTTGACCTTATCTATTAGGAGTTGTTACAATTTAACAGGTACATTTCCCTTGACCTCTTAAGCAAAAGAAAGAAAGTAGGGAAGAAGAATGACCAAATGGAAGAGTTAAAGGTACATTTCTCCCTCTATAAAACCATTATGGGACTAAGCTAGACCGTCAATACTTCCACAAGAAAAGGGGAAGAAAAGGAAGAGCAAAAATAAAGAGAGAAATATCCAACTCAAATGAAGGGGGAACAAGGAAGCTTGCCGTATTGTTCAGAAATTTGGTTCCAGTCAAGCAAAATTTGCTCCATCCCAAAATGTCCTTTGGCATAATCGAGAAGTGTCTTTAACCAACCACTTTCCTCCGTTTCTAACGTTCTACACAGAACTGGGTATTCCTTCCCCTCAGGAATGTACTGGTAGTACGACCTGCTCAAATGGAAAAATGAAACTACAATAATTCACTAATTCCAGGAAAGATTCCCACCAAATGAAACAAGAACGTAAAAGTGAACCAATTAACAGCATAGGAACCATACCAGCTGGCCAAATTATTCCCTATCACATTAATACAATGAACACTAAAAATGACAAGGTCCCTCCCAAAAATCTAAAAGTAAAAACAAGAAAGCAACGTTAAGCAGCATTTTCAGTTCAAACTTCAAACTTCAAACCATACCAATCCCAATCTCTCTCTCTCTCTCTCTCTCTAAAAAATCATCTCTAATCAAAATTATACCAACCAAAATGACCAATCAGTAAATAATTAGCCAAAACCATGAAAAGATAGGCGCAAAAGGGACAAACCAGAGACCCCAGCGCTCAGGAGGAGTGGAAATCTTAGTAGGCAATCGATTTTTCATTTCCTCTAACAAAGTCCTCTGCAGGTTGTGAGTGTCAGCCATGAAAGCTTGAGCATAAGAGTTTTCTTGGTTGAGATAATCAACAAATTCGGGGTCTTTAGCGTTTCTCATCCAATGATAAGGATCTTGCCACGTTTTGCCATGAACAGGGATATCGAAAGGTCGTTTCTTTGGCACAGGAGGGGATTGAGAAGGCAATGGGAAAGTGGAGGTGGTGCAGCGAGAAGAGAAAGGAGAAGAAAGTATGATGGGAATTAAGTGAGAAGCGAGGGAGAGAATGGAGGCTTTGCGTGAGGGTTTTGAGACTAAAAGAGAAAGAAGCGCCATGGAAGCGAAGAAGAAGAGTGCTATGTTAAAAAATTTAAACTAAGATTCTGATATTTGACAAAAGGAATTTATTGATCAGAAAAACTAAAACTTGATATGTGATTAATAATATATTTAAATTATTAAACATGTTTTATATATATATATATATATATATATATATATATATATATCACGTTAAACCACAAATGTATTACAATTAAGTTAGATCAGTATTGATTTTTTAGCAACATAATTACACCAAAAATATAAGTTTAGTTAACTAAATTTCATGAATTTTTCCTCTCACAAAAAATTTAACTTTATACAGTTTATGTTATGCATATTATAGAAAATAGCATTTATAGTTGAAAATTTAAATTCGAAGCATTTAATTCCTAAATTAAGTACAGAGGTTGATTTTAGTAACCTGTAAATTTTTAAACTACTGTAAATCTTCAATAAAAAATTTTCTTAAATATTATAATGTGAAAAAAATTAGATTAATTAATTAATTCAAAATCAAATTGAAATTTCATTAATAGAGAGCAAATAACTTTCGAGTCATGCATGTTGAATTAACAAACAATGAATAATTACAATATTATTAAGAAATTATTGTCAATTACAGGACATTAGTAGCAAAGAAAAATTTTAATGCGTATCTAATTTTTGATATTTTATTATTGTAAATAATTCGAAAATTGTGTGACATAGATTGATAAGTTTTTAATAATTTTTTTATGAGTCCTCAATTTATTTATATCCATTTTTTTTTTTATGTCTTTGAAGCTCTTTAATTTAAAAAAATAAAAACAATTATTATGCTAGCTTGTATTTTGATGTTTAATATTATATTTGGATTTATCAATATAAGGTAGCATAATTTCAAGGAAGCGCGTGACTTAGAATACACCATAAATAATATCATACGGTTGCATATGAAAAATAAAATGTAGAGATTAAATGGAAAATTTAAGTAAATTTAAAATCAACAAATAATCTTTTGAAAATCCAAGCTCGACACCTTTCGCTGCCCCAAACTCTACTCTCTTTTTTTTGCCGTTTTAAGTTAAAAAGACTTTAAATCATCCCGCGACATCCACAAACTCATTTTCAACTCTAAAACTTATTTCGATTCAATTTAAATGATGTAAAGATCAAATTAAAATTTTTAAATGAAATTGAATCTCGTTTGAACTAAATTCTAAAAGCAAATAAATTTTAGGAATTGAAATGAAAAAAAAATACAAAAAAAGGATAAATGACCGTAAAAGTAAAAAAAAAAATTTACAAAAATACGATCCGGTGATCAATAAGAAAATAGTGTGTTGTTAGTTTTTTTACTCATATTATACTACGGATCAAATAGAATATATAAAATTATTTTTTTAAAATTATTTTAGTTTGATATTTTGTATTATATTTTTCATATATCAAAATATATCAAATCAAATATGAATAAAAATTTATGTAATTTTTTAATCAAAAATTTATATTTGATTGATTATTCTTTATATTTTTTCATAATTTTTTATTAAAAAATTATTTATTTATATCTATGCATAAACTAAAATATTTATAATAGTATAAAAAATATCAAAATCAATTGATTCTTGGCTAAAAACTTATTTTGTAAATTATTTTTTCTAGACATTTTTTTATCATAAAACTTTTTATTAAGAAAATCAGAAAAAAAAAAAGAACCAAAGTGACCCAAATGAAACAAAAAAGAAGAATCAAAATTTTTTTAAAAAATATTTGTGAACTAAAAAAATAATGTTTGAAAGAGGGTGATCAAAGTATAATGTCATGAAAACTTTTATGATAGATGTTTTTAAAATATTTAAAAACTACAAAAATAATACTGCTTGATAAAAGGAATCATGCATCCGAGTCTTGATCAATAGTACAAACGAGTATGAGTGAACAATATTTCAAATAATATAATAAATAGTAATCGATCGTTTTACTTTAGTTTTTTTTTTAATTAATATCTTCATGAATTGTGAAACAAATTCTTACTTCCCCAAATGTTTTTTTTTTTTGTTAATTTTAATTTGTCGTTTATAGAGATTAATCAGCATTGCTACAAAAATACTAATTTCATAGTATTTTTTTAAAAAAAAACACATGCCACTATATTGTGTTTAATTTTTTATTATTTTTTAAATTCACGCATCTATGATTTTTAGTAGAATTAGGATTTGAATCAATGATATCTTGTACATAAAAAGATTCTTATAAGCTAATTGTTTATTATCTTTTAAATTAACAAGATTGATTTCCTTTAAATTTGCCAAAATCCTTGTATTTTGGGATTACATTGGTGGTGTTAAAAATAGCATGGTAGTTTATCATAACCTTTTGATTTTATTATTATATTCTCAACCATTGCCAAAATGCTTAATGGTTGGAAGCTCTGACCTATTTCCAAGGGCAACCAAATTTGTGGTCTGGGAAAGCAATATTTTTATATGGCTACTTGTAGAAAAGGATGTTATCCTCAATATGAAAATCGATTTTAAATAATAGCTTTTTTTATATATCATTTACTATTAGTATGAGAAAATTTTCAAAAAAAAAAAATTGTTTTGTAAAGAAGTTTTTACCTTTAATTTTAACTACGGATAATCATTTTTGCTTAAATAAAGTTCTTGGGAATAACTTAGATATTAATTTTCATACTGTTTTGTGGTGGAAACATTTCCAAAGCAAGCACTGGCATCTTGCTTTTACTAGATTCGCTGGACCTCCGACACCGCAGTTCAACTGTAACAGTTAATTAATGTTGTTAAGGTCCTTCTTTCTACTCTGCCTGAAACATTCCCAATTTGAGTCCAACAAATAGGGTTAGCATGTGAATCATGTAAAAATGGAAAGATGTTTGCAGCAATCGATTAATATGACAATTTTCCTAACAATATGATTAATTTTGGAGCATACCCAAAACAGAAACTGATGGCATTGAAGTGAAGCTGTTTGATTTGGCCTCCACCGGCCATACTCTTGGCCATAATAATATTAGAGTTTTAACAATGCGTTTGAACTTTCCTAACAAAATGATTAATTTTGGACCATTTTTTAAAATTGTTTGTTATTATAGTTTCCTCCAGTATTTTATTTTTCTTTTTTGCTAAAATTTAGTTTAATGTAGTTCATTATTTTAAAAAGAATACTAAATACTTCTTTTAAAAAATAAACATGAAGCAATTTTATATTATTATGTCACACAAAAGCTACTTGTATAATCACGTAAAAAATATTTATACATCATGAATTTTATATTATTTTTCCAAAATGAAATTTTCGTGGGGTGCTTTGGTGCTTGAATTTTATTTTTATTTTTTAAAATTCTTTGTTTAATTTTTAACTAAATTTCCTTTTCTTTTTATTTATTTGTTCACAAGGAAGATGTCTATCAACTACGTATTATCTAATTATTTGTTCACAACGATGCCCAACTTTTAATTTTTTTTATCTAACCGTTGATTTCTAATGATTTGCTATCAAATTTTTTATTTTTATTTGTTTCGGTGCATGAATACATATGAGATTCGATTTTACTAACATGTCTAACGAGAGCCGTCACGTGACAATAAAAAAATATCATGTGATAATTAACTCCGGACATGTCGACAATTCATACTCTCACGTGGTTATGAGGACCCAAATAGAAAAGAAATAAAAAATTAGACATAAAAAATGCAATTTTTTTCAAGATATTTATTGACTTGAGATTGCAAAATTAGTCCAACAATTTCTAACAAATATTTTTATATCAAGCTAGTGGTTTTTTTTTACTTATCAAAGACAATTTTTAGTATAGAGTATCGGTTAAAATTATTTTTAAAAAATTCCAAACACTTTTAGTCGTTTAGATAAATTTAATATTATGCCATTTAATCTAAATACATATAAAGTGCAACTAAGATTAAATTTAGAAAAATAAAAAACATATAAAATCTAATTATGATTGTCAATTGCGGAACAAATGGTTGGTCAATAAAGAAATTTTCAAAAAAATAAAATTGCTTCATCCGTCAAGAAGAAGATTGACCAACATATCACGGGTGACATAAGTTTTCTATAGTCAATAACTTGCTGAATGTTTTATAGCGAGTCGAGATTGATAGAATCGATATGAATAAGTTTAATGATTAACATTTTTTATTCGGATGTTTAAAATGCAATACTTTTAGTAGTGGTGACGATAATGACAAGAGTAATAAGTGAAGCATGAAAAAACTAAAAAGTGAACACATTGTTAAAATTACTTGTACAATTAGTATAATAACGTGAAAATATGCACATATATAATTATTGATATTCTTAGAATTTAAATTTATGCGTTGCAATATCGAAAAAAAAAGTTTTGGAGTTATCATATATATAAAGATAATGAAAACACAAAAGATGTATGAAATCTATTTATAATAAAGAAACAATAGATCAAAGTATAAGAAGGACATGAACGTTTAGTGTGAGAAAACCGAAATAAATTTTTTGAGAAAACTATACTTTTGATAGTCGGCAAAGAGAGTAAAAAACTACTAATTGGAATATTTGTTGCAACATGCATCTAGAAAAGATTTGCTTGTAAATTAACTAAAGTAAAGATAAGGTAATCAATCTCAAAACACAGCAAGTTACACTTGACGATGAAAGCAACATTCCAGCATCACCTAGTTATTGAATGCCTTTTTAAAGCATTGGAAAAAAAAATCTCCTCGTTAGCTTATGATATGTAGAGTCAAACAGCCTATGAATAATTTTGGGAAGACGCTGATCTTATCACCACAGCATAATAACCTGCTTAATTATTGTTTGTTGCCTTGTCCTTCAAGGATATGGATTCTAAATATCCTGTACTATTGAGAAAGGGAAGGAGAAGGGGTTTTTATACATAACAGCCATCACATCAATCAAAATTAAATTTAGTATTTTTAGAATAAAACAAGCCAAAATACCTTTTAACTTTTATTCTAACATTAGACTAGTCTTCAGGCAAACCAATCCAAACTTAGTATCGCTAAATAATAATAATAAGTAATTATTCATGAATAGTAAAAATAAAATTATGCTCTTCGTCAAATCAAAACAATTTTTTTTTACCTTAGTAATACTATATACCTTAGTGGCACTATATATGCATAATTTAATTACCACAAATAGTTTGAGCTTTTTAGAGACCAATCATCCCCTGTATTGAGATTATGTTAAACATTCTCACCCACTGCATGTAGTCTTCTTTTGGTTGGTAAAAAAATAAAATAAATAAAATTCGACTCTCAACCCAAGGAGAGATGTGCTGGGCTAACAATGAAGGTATGCGTGCTTTCTACCCATTACTGTAGCAAAAGACCGTGGACTGAAGCTTCTCTCCGGAAAGAGGGTAGGTCACTGTAGGTGGACTCTTCCTGCTCTGCCTTAACAAGAACAGGACATGGTAGGAACAAAGCACAATGTGATTAGACATAGTGGATGGACTTTTAAGCCGATACTATCATTCCACAGCAATTTATTATTATTTTTTTTTTGAAAAAAAAAAAACGAGGCAGCTGCCGTCAGATGGGAGGGAAAAGGTTCCAAGACGAAGGATATTCTATTCCCTTGAATTGTACGGAAAAAGCTGCTCAGCATAATACTTGAATATACTTCCAACATTGAACTGAATATTCTTGAATCAACTGAATCAAGAAATAATCTGTACAAAAAAAGTCAAGTCAACTTACCCTAATTTTTAAGGAAACAGACATCACAACCTACCAATGTTCACAACATCAAAACAAATGAAAAAACACATGATATCTTATAGCATAAGTACAAATTCCAAGCTACCATGCCCCTCTTCCGAACCATGATTTGGAAATTTTGAAATTTGAGATACACCAGTAAGTGCTGCTTACCATTTCCTTCTAGTGGTCCTTTTCCATTCTTTACGGGAGCTATTTTTCTCTCTCTCCATAATCTCTTGAAATACCATCACTCTAGTCTGTAGTACCTGTGGCCTTCTTCGAATGCTTCTCATCTTCAATATCCTGCATGCCAATCAAATTTAGCTCATTTATCAATTAACAGAATAATTACGTATATGTGTTGCAATATAGCACGCCCATTCTTTCTGACCTAATCATGTAATTTGCAAAGTAGGCATGCTAACTTGATTCCTTGAATAAAAGGCACAAACTTAAATAGTACCATGAGCGGAAGAGATCAAAAATAGAACTCATAAGATTAACTTACAGAATTATCAATCTTGTCAAAATCATCATCAAAGCTCCCATCACCATCATCTGAAAGACAAGGCAGATAATTGACAAACAGAAGGCAATAACAAAAGAAGGAGCATTGGAGATGATAAAAAAATTGCATGCCATTCTGTTCATAGATTGTCTTTAAAGAATTATACGTAGTAAACATTCCTTCTCCCAAATCCCACATGTACCCATGCATTCCTGAATCATGTAAAATCAGATGGCAGCCTAAGCATTCACAAAAGAAAGGGTCAGCTATTGATTATACACCACAGTGTACTGGGCTTACCAGCAATATAAACATCAAGTAATGTTTCCGAAGAGTATAAATAAGCTGATGATAGCAAAATTTAAATTCAAAATGGTCCCAATGGATGTCTTTTTGACCTAAGAGGGGTGTTTTAGGATTAAAAGTTCCAATATATGGTCCATTTCACATAAGAGCTCATTTTGGGGAAAACTCTCAAAACCAATTATACATTCAACACTGGCCAAAGAATTAAACTGGCCGCATGGAAAATGAGAAACCCTGAGAAGCAAGTAACTACGGAAGCAGTGTGAATTCCAAGATGTGGATGCAACTTGGTTTCTTCATAAAGATGCCAGGCATGCTGAAAACATATTCTACACGTAGACTACATCCATGCATGCTGTAAGTGTCAGAACCAGGTAGTTAACATAAAGTGAAGAGTAAATATGGTAGGAGTCACAATTCGAACTAATGATGTAGCAATCAACTTGTTTATAAACCCATATGTTGAAAGAATATACCTGGACCCCCATCACTGTCTTCAAGATCTCCCAAAAGAAATGAGTCCAAGTCCTGCTCAGCTGAGGATGTCTTAGTTTTCAGGTTCTTATCTGCTGATTCTGATTTAGAAGAATTCTCCCCAACCACAGCACTTTCCTTTTCTTTTTCAACTTTTATCTGCTCCTCCGCTTTGCGCTTAACCTCCTCCATGTACTGCTTCTCATACCTGAATTTTAACCATGGAAAACAAACACAGCAAAATAAGACCTATTGGATTGTGTTGTGACGCCCACAAATATCTCTGATGGACAAATTAATTTGAAACTAAAAAGTTCACAAAATCAATTCAAATAAGACCTCCAGTCTTCCTGTTCAGCTGATTCATTGATGAAATAATCAAGCAGTTTCAATTTCCATATAAAGCATCAAAACTGCAGTAACTTCACCGTTCACATTAAAAGCCATCTACATGCGGCAATGATCGTCACTGTTAAGGCAGGCTACTTATCATTAAGCTGCATAAAATTTTGGTCTTCATAACTCAAAGAAGTGCAGCTTAATAAATCTAACCGAGTTGATCAGTACGGATTTTCTTCAGTTTTCGTCCGTCCATTAAGCATTCATTATGGCAAACAAAAAAACTTAACATCTCTTTCCCATCATTAATTAAACCAAAAGGGAACTCCTTAAAAAAAAAAAAAAAAAAGGAATGAATACATACGGCCCAACATGAGTGCTGACAAGTGTGAAATAAATTCTCCAGAATCTCCTTTCTTTCATCACACGCGGACATAACTCATATCGCAACTTTGAAATTTGCTGCGATTACAATTTAAAACACAAAATTATAATCTCATTTTTGCTTCTTCAGTTCAAACACAGAAAAAGAAAATCCAAAATCTTTAAATTAAAAAATATAAAAATACCTTAACAGTGGTGAGAACAAGAGTAGCATGCCTCTCCTGCCATTCACTAAGATCCTTCCGTACATTTGACTCCGTTGTCTCCACATCAGATGGCTCTCCTTCATCTAAACCATCAAAATGAACAAAATTCAAATCCGATGAGAATAATTAATCAAAAATAAAAAATCATAATCACATTTTGAGAGGTGCGAATCACCTTGAATCGGAAAGTTCTGGAAAGTACTAGAAGTCAACCCTTTAACAAAATCTCTCAGATCATCTGTAACGCCAAACTTCCGGAGCTCCGAATCGGAAACAACAGACCCCGAAGAAGAAGATGAAGAAGAGAAGGCATTAGCATTGACGATGGAGAGAGAGGACAGCTGAGGAGGGATGATATCGGAAATGGACTTGATTTGGATCTGATCGGCTTGTTTAAGAGCGGCGACTTTCAGCTCATCAGCTTTTTTGGAGGCTTCAAAGGCAAATTCTTTGGATTTCTTGGCGGTTTCAGCGACTAAATCGGCGATCTTGTTCGAAGAAGTGGTTAGGGTTTGGGATTTCTTCGCTGCTTCTTCTGCAAACACCTTCGCTCTCTTCCATAAATCTTCCATTTTTTTGTGTTTTTTGTTGTGTTGTAAATTATTTTTCACGTTTTATGATAACATACGCTTGCTTGTAGGGTGGAAGCTTGTCAATGACCTTCAGAGATGGTAAATGCGATGACGTTTTATTGTCGGTGTTTTTTATTTATTTATTTTTTTAATTATTATTGACATAAAACCCCTGAATATCCTAAGATATTGCTTGTCTTTTCTTTTTGTGAACATTTGGAGAAGACGTTGAAAACGACTGAATTTGCTTAAAGATGTTAGATAAACAAACAAAAGATCTTTTCTTGAGTCAGCACTGTTATGTAAGGATGCGTATTGTTTAATTTTGTGTTAAAAAATATTAACTTTCAATCTTGTAGTTATCTTTAAGAATAAGCTTAATATTGATAATTAATTAAGATGTATGTTAAGCATTGATGTGATAAGATCGATATTTTGTTGTATATATATATATGATGAATAAAAATCACACCGGATTTATATCATTATGTCAAAATTTAAATTTAAAATATTTTTATTTATAAATAAAATCAATCAGATATAGATATACTATTTACTCAAATCATATTTCACAAGATTGAATTAAATAGACATTTTTTTTACCATAAACCAATACGACAACAGTTTATTATTGGTATTTTTTTCCCCTTTTTTAAGGTCTTACTAGTAGTATTTATTTTCCGTTTAATAACGGTAATTCAGGTATTAAAAAAAAACGTGTTAGTTAAGGTTATATGATAATGTTAATTATTTGAACTCGTAGTAAAGAAATTAAAAAAATTCACATACGCGCATTATCAGATTTAGTCGAAAATTCACTAAAATTTGGACTGTATAATATAAACAAGCTGTCCTCCTTTTTAAACTTCATTCTCTTTTTTATGCAATCAAGATTGATCCTCCAACTTTTTTGTACTTTATACATAAACTAAACTTGTTAGTTAAAACCTGCTAGAATCCACGAATTTGTATTTACATAAAATAAAAGTGAGATACTATTCTGAATTTCCGTTATTTATATCATAAAAAAATATACATATCAAGACGATGCAAGTTTATTTTGATGGAGCATCATTTTGAACTAGTGACCTATAATTTTCCTCTAAATATAAGCAATTATAAACACTCTATTTTTTTTTCTTTAATCAGGATAGTTATTCTGTTTTTGTATTCCTCGTAATCATTAATTATAAGAATTATTTATTTATTTATCTTTTCGCTTTTTGAACGGCAAAACAACGTAATAGCACGATGGCGTTCTTGCCAACGGCTTCAAGTCTCGACAATGAAATATTTCCCTTTTTCTTTTTCAATAGAAACCAGAGTGGATGATCTCATAGATAAAAGGTCGAACCTTTAGCTCGGTCAGGTTTATCGTGCAAGAAGCTGACTCACGAAGCCCAAAATCAAGTTCATTACACGAGGAAGTAATTAATTTTCCGGTCTACGTTTAGCTTGAACTCACGAGGCCCAGACAAAAGCTCGGCCCAACAGAGATCAAAAGTGAGAGTCCAAATTCTGATCCCTAGTCTTCGAGTTCACCGAATTAAAAAACTTGACTTAATTTTCTAAATAAGCCGACACAGACATGCAATTAATTTGGATAAACCATGTAAAAATTAAAAACAGTTTCAAATCGCTCTCCATTTTCCGTTCTTGATTTCTTGGGATCCCTTGATATGATCAGGGGTTGGTCTAGTTGGTCGAGGGAAGTTGGGTTTTATATGTATCCATATTTTGTATAATTAAAATTTTTTTATTAAAATTTTAATTTTTTTATTTAATTTAAAAGTTTTACTCTTATATTATTATTGTTTCAGATCTCATTGTGCAATGTAAATACACGTGGCAATCTCTAACCAATAACAACTTATTACGTTTTATGACGGACCTAAATTAAATGATTAAATTGGTAACGTAGTCGATTGTCATTGGCTAGAACTTATCACATGTATTTACGTAACACATTATGATTTGAAACAATAATAATATAAAAATAAAATTATTAAATTGGATAGAAAAAAATTTAAAGTTTTGATTAGAAAAAATCAAAATGTATAAAATCTTGATACGTACAAAACTTGAGAGAAGTTTAAAGGTGCATCAAATTTTATGGATCATTAATTGTTGATACTTTGTGTGAATTTTTAACATAGGAGAGTGGTGTATTTATTTAATTATTTGCTACTGCATGCACGGTGAGTGAACATTGGACATTCAAGTCGCAGCATAAATAGAGGTGCTGCTTGCAGAGAGCAGAGAAAGGACAGAAACTGGAGAATTGGCTAAGTGTGTAGTCCAATTTTTATCATTGATCAGCCATGTTGGTTAATTGATCGATTGCATGCTTCAAGGTTAACTAAACCAAGTGGTATCAATGTTTTATTTTGCATTGGCATTTACCTCTCAATTAATCAAGGTTTGGATTTCTGAGTGATGTTTTAAATGTTGTCTTCACACACATCACTCTTTTCGTTTTAAAAAAAGGGATTAATTTATTATAATCATGCACGTACGGTTCATTTTCAAATAAAATATCGACATTTGTAGTCGATTACATAGTTCTAAACATTCAAACCGTATCTATTTGGACATTTTAAAAAATATTTTCTCAGTCAATCTTTTTAAGTAAATCTATAAAATACGTACGGTTAATCTACCAAAGATGATATGTAGTCACCCACTACTTCACACGACAGAACTTGTTTACTATAAACGAGAATGTAATGTTGGAATTCTAATGAGATAGGCCGTAGGCGAATACAAAATTAATATTGTAGTTCTTGGTTTGCTTGTAACTTGTGAGAGCATGTTACTCAATATTGGGGTTTGTAACCCAATTTTGACTCAAAAAAAAGAAAAAGAAAAAGAGAGAGTGGATGAAACAAAGAGAATTTAATTTCACACGTTAGTAGGGTCGTCCAAGTTTGCTACAAATCTTAGGGTTTTGCTCCATAATGTCGGCCATAATACACAAATAACAAGAAAACACATTCCTCGTTTCCGTAATTACAATAACATTTCTTTTAACCAAAATTGTACGTACTCCTAGCCAGCTGGCTAGCTATTCAAAAAGTTTCTTCTTCCAACAGTACGTAGTACTACTGAAATTAAACCAGCATTTTATCGACACCGCCTGCCCCCTCCTCCATGTTTTATGGACCAGCCGGCAAGGATTTGTTATGTATCGGACGTCGTCTTCTAACGTGCGTGTAATCCATCGTAAAAAAATGGGATGTGTCGTCGTTCTCCTCGACCCATTCACGCCATGTCCCGGCTGGTCTGCCTCCGTGCACTGCAGTTTGTTCTTTATGGTATGGTTTGCCTGGGATGATGATGTCACGTTAATTAATGGATCAAATCGAACAAAATAATAACGAACTTCCTTGTAAGCTGGCTGGCTTCTAAATTTTTCATTGTCTAATTGGAAAACATTCGATATATATGAAATTATTAAACAAAGAGGACAACTGCCTACTGTTTGGAAGAAGTGGTCTTGAGTGGTCAATTTGAGTGTTAGAAGTGAAGCAAATCGCTGATTTTATTCATAACATACATCATTTTATATTATACTATATAATTAGCACAAGCATGATATATAGTTAACTTGACAAATTAGAGGCTAGAGAGCATACAATTCCTTCGTCAATTCACCTTACAAGAAGCTTAACTGTTCAATATATACTTAGGACTATTTGTCTCTACTAGTTAGAACATGCTATTACTTGGAACGGATCGATGTGCAGTGAGATGTTAAGACAAGCTATGACTTGAATTAATTTATAATTCTTTTCTTTATTTCTTATTACTAAAAGTCCAATCAAGGGACAGTTAAACTGTGAAAACAAATGTTTTGAATAAGAATAAATATGAAACCAAGGCCATCGTTCTGAATATTCATCATACAAAAGTCAAGAAATGCTTTTACAGACAAATAAATAAATAAATTGGAATTAAGAAGAATCATTTTCGGGTCAGAGAAGTGCTACTGCCCATCAAAACTGCATACCTTTATTTATGATGTGATGCCTCTAATGAAAGGAACACCTTAAAACAAACACTAGCTATCGGATGCTCCTAATACTATTATGGCTTGCATGGGACAAATTAAATGGGTGATATTTTTAAGAATTTACCTGAAGTAGTACTGTCTCCCTTTTGCTTATCGAGTGGAGTGGAACCTTGCGCTGCATAATTTTGGACCTGTTTCTAAGAAGGTTGAAGATATATAACAAATTCAGTAAGTTGCAAGTGTGCAGCAAGGTTAACAACATATATATAGAAATGAGGATGATCAGTTGTTTATTGTGGATACATACAGCTACTTCCTGATCAAAGAGTAGTACTCTGAGCTTCCTTGGCAGTGCAGGGACAGAGAACTTGATTTTATCGTTGGCAGCTGCTGATCATAATGACGTAATAATAGTAAGAACATGATCATCATCATTTGAGATATATAGCTAGCAATACAGAAGCAGAAAGGTTGTTTAATTACTTAATTACCTTGTTGATATGATGATTGTTCCTCATGAAGTTGCTTAGCAGCACAAGGTGTAGTTAGAAGAAATGAGAGACAAACGCATAGAGTAGTGACAATGGCCATGAGCTCCATATTTTTGATAGCTAAAGTGATTTTTGCATGAAAGACTTTCTCTAGTGTGGGGTAGAATTTATAGCATCACAAAACCTAGCTTAGCTAGCTTTTATCAAACCATGGGAAGTAAGTCAAGGACACACACAAAGCACAAAATGAAGAGTTCCAAAAACAACTACATGAAAATCCTATATTTTTCACTTCCTTTTTAGGAGGCTTCACACCATTTTGGTTGGTTTTGTCATGACCTAGTGTTGTAGGGGCCCACAGGTTTTCTGTTTTATCACCATGTTAACACTCAAGGCTACACGCATATCTATCGACCCCCAAATTATACAAGTATCTGTTGTGAATAAACAATTGCCCAATCTTTCTTTGCCTGATAGATAGAGAAAGATAATATTAT